ACTTTAATAATATTTATTATTTCTATTTAAAATTATAAACATTTTATATAGTTATTTTCAGTTTAGAATATACCTATTAATTCATACAAATTTCATAAATACTAATTCATCGATGCCGATTTTTGCAAAGTTTTATCTTTATTTAAATATGCTGAAATTATCTCATTTTGGATTACTAACATTTGCTTCAACTTTCTTTTAATATTCTTTTTAATATTTCACAATTTTCAATTATTCAAATTTGTTCAATAACACACAGAAAAATAATTCAAATACGAAGTTATATTCTTTTAGTTATCTATATACACGAGCTTTTGATATAATACATCAGTCAAAAAGAATAAGAACAAATTTAAAAATATCGAACAAATTTATTGCAATATTCGTCCGTTATAATTTCATATAATTATGTAATACAAATATATTTAAATCAATAAGGATTATTATATTGAGTAATATGCATACTATATTTATAGTATATTTTGATATATATTTCATAAAATTAATATTGATTAATAAATTATTTTATAAAGCTTGACCAACATATTAAGTTTCATTTTATCGATATATATTTGGAATAATAACATTTTTTTTTTTAATTTTACTATTATAAGATGTTTGATTATGATATATTGATAATGATTATAATATACGTTATTTATTTATTAATAAATTGAAATTTAAATTAAGAAATAAAATATCTTCCTTACATGAAAATTTATTTTTTCATGTTCATAATGAGTTAAAAAAAAAGTCACGAGACTTTAATTTATATAATAAAAATGTCTGTCATGTAAAAATATAAAAAAATTACCAATAATCCAAGTACTAAAAGTAAGTAAGTGTAGCTATGGAGAAGATTGTCTTATAAAATTGCTAAAATGTATTTTTTAATTACCATATACTTAATATTAATTATTTACCAAATTATGTGAGTACAATAATTTTAATAGGATTTTTATGAATTTTCTAAATTATAACATCGATTCGCAGTAATAAAATAAATGGCATTCAATGAGCCAATTCATTTTGTCGCATATATAATTGTTTAAATCGAGTCGATACAATTGAATAAGTTTTAAATTTAAATATCATTAAACACTTATCGTATGATGCTAAAAAATATATATTATTTTCTTATTCCCCGTTTATAATTATTCATTTCTTATTTCACAATTAATTTCATTTCGACTTTTGATATAGAAGAACAATCCATATGGAAATGCAGCAAAATAAAAATACACATTCAACTAGTATGCAATGTTCTCCAATAGATATTAAGTAAAAATACAACGATAATGAAGGAACAATCGAGTGCAGGCTTGTGTGATATATAGTCATGTACGTACATATTCAGAGTTGAACACCATGGAGCCGTGAGTCTTATCGATATTGCTTATCGGCACCGGACGGGTGTACGTTACATATCCGGTTCATAGCAAGTAAAATGAGCAAAGGAAAAAGCTATATACATATACATTCGTGCACACGTGTATGTATATATATATATATATATATATATATATATATATATATATATATATATATATATATATCTCTC